GTGCTGTTCACAGAAAATGAACTGTGAGTCAGGTCAAATCAAGACAAGCTCTGACAATGTAGCCCTTCAGGGAGCTACCAGGCAGGTTGAATAGAGATTATTTTCTGGAGGTAGGTCTTTAGGTGAGTCTCAGTCCATTTTGTCCCCGCCAGTGGCTGCAGCTGTCGTAGTTGTAAGGCTACTGGTTTTCAAGGCTTTTGTAGGGCTGGGGAGAGCAGGTTAAGATTAGGGCAGCTGTGAACTCCACAAAAATCACTGCGTTCGCAGAGATTCAGCAGTGAGTCTTGATTAAACACTCCTTGAATTATTAAGCAATAGTTTAGCTAATTTCCAGAGGTCTAGAAAAGTTAATTTTGACATTTTTTTTTGCCAGTATCCTTATTGCTTGTAGAGAGGAGTAGATTTTCAGAGGTCCTTACTTCACTATTCTCGAAACGCTTCCCTGCATGTTTTTTTGTTTTGTTTCGTTTTGTTTTTCCATTGTTTTTATTTTAGGTGCAAAGGAGAGACAAAGAAGCACGCAGTTCCTCTGCTCATTCCTTCCTGTGCTCATCCCTTCCAATATTTAATACTCCTAGAAACCACTTTTCCTTCATTAGGAGCGTACTTATTAAACGTTGTCAAAAAACTCATGATGCTGAGAACTATGTTGGGCACTATGAGGGATACACAAAAATATGATACCCTCTTGTCTTCACAGACCACATAATACTAGCGTGACACATTAACCTTGAGGAAGTTGTAAGGAGGAAAGGGAAGCCTGAGAAGTCTCTGTCTGTGTGCATAGAGGCTCTGTTGGGGCGGTGGGCGGGGAGGCAGCCAGGAGCAGTGGGAGAGGGGTGTTTGCAGAACTTTCTCTCTCTCTCTCTCTCTTTCTCTCTTTGTCTCTGGCATCTGTGGTGGGGACCTTTGACTTGCTAATTTTCAGACACGTTTTCTGTGATGCAGGGCACTCAACACAAGCCAGCTGAAGTCCCTGAATATTGAAATGCTCCCTGGCTATCGAGATCCCTATTCCTCCAGGCCTCTAACCAGGGGTGAAATTGGCTGCTTTCTCAGCCACTACTCAGTCTGGAAAGAGGTAAATAATGCTGTGTTCAGATTGCAGTTTTATGATGAGGCAAAAGGAAAGTAGGCTATCTTAGGTGAATTAGGGCCAGACGTAAAATGAGCCCATAGCTGTTCTGGAAGTGTGCATGCGAGCTGCTCCTGCCTGTGTCTCCCTCTGACTCGAGACCAGCAACAGAGGGGCAAGGAGGAGTAGCTTTGGTGCCATGTGGGATGATGACAGGAGGAGATACCATGTCCTACGTGCCACACTTTTATTAATTCATTCTCATCATTAGCAGGAATACCTTCTACGGTACCTATTATGACATCACTTATTAAGTGATTTTATACAACAAATCACACAGAAGTCATGTGAGGTGGGTTGGGAAGGACAGACCACTTTTACCCAAGAAGAAATTATTAAGTAGCTTGTCTAGGGAAGAAGTGGCAGTGCCAGAACTTGAACCCCTGTCTTACAGATCAAGACATTTCTGGAGGGGGCATTTGTGTGTAGGGTTCCTGATAAAGAGTCAGTTTCCACAACAAAAGAGAAAGTTCCTGAAGAAAGTCGTCTTGAACACTTTCTCTTTTAATGATCCAGTATATGCCTGCCTTTTTTTTCTCTAAACTTTAAGTGAAATGTAATAAATAGGTATAAAAGTATATACATCAAAAGATATAGCTCAGAGAAATTTCACAAACTGAACACCACACCCATGTTAATCAGCACACAGATCCAGAAGCAGGTAACCAGCATCCCAGAAGTGCTCCCCACCATATTTCCTTCTAGTCACCAGTCCCCAAGGGTAGTCACCATCTTGACTTCTAAAGCTTTATCTTTGTTTGTACTTTCTTTTATATGAATGGAGTCATACAGTGTATGTACTCTCCCAACATGGCATTTAGGAGATTCACCTATAAAATTGCATTTAATTGTGGATCATACATCCTCACTGCTGTGAATATGCCACAGTTTATTTATCTATTCTACTGTTGATGGCCATTTGCTTAGATTCCAGTTATGAACCTGTACTACAAGACTTGTGACTTTTTAATACATTTTTATCTAATAAAAATTGGGTGTCGAACTTTTCATAGGTTATCTTCCTACTGATGACCTTTACAGGTAATTGACCGAGAACTAGAGAAGACTCTTGTAATTGAAGATGATGTGCGTTTTGAGCATCAGTTTAAGAAGAAGCTGATGAAGCTGATGGATGATATCGACCAGGCTCAGCTGGACTGGGAACTGATGTGAGTGACAAGATGATCTTGTGAAAGGGCTCTGAGAGGCACTCAGTTCTTTCCAAGGGCAGAGAGCCCCACCTTTGCAGCCAGTAGGAGATACAGCTTAAGCTTCCACTTATCTGGTTTTCTTTCCATAATGTTCTCAGAAACAAAAGTGGGTAGAGGTTAGCCACTGGATTTTGCATCCTTCTACTCTTCAGGGTGGGAAACTGTGGAAGATTCTCTGAGACCTGGAGTCTGCCTGCAGATCAGGGGCCTTCAGACAGAGCCAAGGTGTGACACTGAGCACTTACTTAGGAGCACAGCAGAAATCCCACCCTCAAGAAGTGTGGCCCATGGAGTGGGTGTGATGCGGGAAGAGAGGCCATTTATTCAAGTGCCAAAGTCCTGTGTCACATTTAAGCCTCAGATGCTGGGAGAGCAGATTGCCCCTGCAGCTTCTGAGAAGGTGAGAGGTTAGAGGGTCAGCCAGGGAGCTCCTCTGTTGGGAAACGAGGTTGCACAAACATGGAGAATATGGACAACCAGATCTGAGGATGAGTCTGAGGCTGACACAGGAAAACCAGGCTCACCAAGGGAGTGCTGGCTCTGAGCTGGCATTTAGTTAATGTTCTTTGTCTACTGCCTTGGGAATCTAGTGGTTTCTACTTTTTCCTTTTCCTTTCCTTTTTCCTTTCCTTTTTCCTTTCTTTTCCTTTCCCTTCCTTTCTTTCCTTTTCTTTCTTTTCCTTTTTTCTTTCTCTCCCTCCCTCTTTCCTTTCTTTTTCTTCCTCCTCTCCCTCCTCCTCCTTTCTCTCTCTGATTTTCTTTTTAAAACAAATGACACTTTCAGCTTCCCTCCAATGAAGCAGAAAGTTCCCAGGCATTATGTTTGCTCCCAGCTGTGTGTCAAAGGCAGTTCATCAACTCAGAGCCTGCTTCTTTGGAGCAGCTGCAGCAGAGGAGCTGTCCCTGCACCTCCCACCCACAGGGGGAGATTTAACTATGAGTCCAGGTGAAATACTTGTTTCCTCAGAAAATGGGCCACTCTGAGCTCAAAAGAAACCTAGCAATGGCTCAACTAATGTGTTACTGTGTAATAAGACATCTATACTCTGTCACATTTCAGTCATGTGGTCATGTGGTTAAACTTGGCATTCTGCACAGTCCCTTGAGATCACTGTTTTTTCCTATATCCTCCAGAAGTCTCTGCACTTCAGCCTTTCTGATGGATGGCTCCGCAGCCTATGGTTAAGGCCTCTCACGCATGGAGCCTGGAATCTACTTGATGCCCACGTGACTTGTGTAAAGGCAACTTTCACTTAAGTCTCATAATCACAGAAGACTGAGCCCAGGGAATCTAAAGTTTAGAGCTGGTATACTTTCCTGTTCACATGTAGTTTGGTGGGTGCATTTCTAGGACAAAGTACCAACAGATCCAGGAAGGAAGGACAGCTGTCTTGATAAGGATACAGGAAGAAAATGTTCTCTAAATTTCACAGATGATTGATCAAGTCAAAATATTCCCTTAAAATCTATTATATAGTCTTAAAGAATGATAACAGTTTTAAATTGTACCTGTCATTTTCTAAAACAAAAAAGAAGCGAATGTTACTTAACCCTAAAACATGAAAGGTAATAAGCTGTCCATGATTGCCACATTACATTTTTCCAGAGAATAGTAAAATGAAAGAATACCACAAGTCATTGGAATCATCTAGGGACTGTTGTTCAATAGATATATAATGCAAGCCACATATGTCATTTTCAATTTTCTAGTAATCACATTAAAAAGGAAAAAATAAATTAAGTCATATTAGTTTAAATAATACATTTTACTTAACCAAACAGAATCATCATTCTGGTATGTAATTAATATTTTAAAACCATTAATGGCATAGTTTACCTTCTCTTTTTTTTTTTTTTTTTTTTGTACCAAGTCTTCAAAATCTGGTATGTATTTTATACCTAGAACAAATCTCAATCCAGAAGCTAAATTTTCAGCTGTTAAACTATAGTCCTACCAAAACAACTTGTTTCATGAAAAATGTATATATTTCACACATCTTCAACATTTAAAATTAAATTAATTAAAGTTAGAGCATTAAGTCTAACTTTATAGCCCCTATCACTCTAGTACCTCCCAAGTACTCCATAAAAGTTTCCCTTCCACTGGATGAGACACCAGAAAAGCTCAGACTCTGTAATCTGAAGAGACAGTGGTTGGGATATATGTTTGTTGTCCTTAGAAGAACTAACAGTTGAACATAGACTTGTTCTATAAATTCTGGGATGCTTTGACAAGAGGGAATCCCTTGAATATTGAAAGAGGTTGTTTTAGGGTAAAACAGAGGAAGTACTGCTTTACGTGGCAGGCAAGAAGCAGGCAACACCCCAGCTTGCTCCAGTCAAGCCCAAACCTACAGGTTCCAGACAAAAGTAACGGAGCATGGGTCCATGGGTAGACTAGGGAAGAGTGGCCAAAGAGGCACCCCACATTGTAGAAGTTATTCCTGGAGGACAGAAGGTACCTGGAGGCCTTTCTTGGGGCAGCATGTCTGGGAGGAAGCCTGGTCACAGCTGGGCGAGTGTGAGGCAGGAGAATGTCTGTCAGGAGCTGTCATTCATATTCCCCAGGAGAAACCCCTTCGGCCGCTCTGGGGTTCTGCAGACTGACACTTTCCCCCAGCTTTTTCAGCCCTGTGTTTCTCACCAGCACTTGGAGCCCTGTGCAGAAGGCACCCAAGGCTGATACTCTTGGGACCTGAAGACAGCAGGTTCAGGATTCTCCCATCTGGCCTTTTTTGTGCCTTTCCAACCTCTGTAAACAGCAGGAAACCCCATCCCATCTTTAATAAATGAGCTGAAAGATCTTTTAATGTCACTACATCTTACTTTCTGGCTTGAAAACAGTCCACTAGACAGGTATAGTGGGGGTGTTGATAAATGAAGCCAGAAAAATGGCCCCAGTGATGGCAGATGTCAGTCATGACTGGTGATAGGATCCACTTTGGGACGTGATACATCATTTAATGACAGACAGTCCGGGATTTCAAAGATATCTATGTAAACCAAAGCTGTGCTCCATCCTTACCACAGCCTAATATTCAAGGTAGAACTTTTCTCCTCTGCTATTTCCTTGTAGTTATATTGGTAGGAAGAGGATGCAAGTCAAGGAACCAGAGAAAGTGGTGCCCAATGTGGAAAACCTGGTCGAAGCTGACTATTCCTACTGGACCCTGGGCTACGCCATCTCTCTGGAAGGAGCACAGAAGCTGGTTGGAGCCAATCCTTTTGGGAAGATGCTACCAGTGGATGAGTTTCTGCCAATCATGTACAACAAGCATCCTGTGTGAGTCTCCCCGAACTGCCTGCCTTCTCTTGGGCACAGCCTCTTCATGAATTATGCTCTCCGATTCTGGTAGTACTTGATATTTTCTAAAGCGTACTGCCTTCCTAAATGATCTTCTCATAATTAATGTTAAGAGAGCCTGACTCAGGTGATTAACCCTTTCTACAGATGGGAAGGTGAGGCACAGAGATAGTGGGCGTCCTGCCCAGGGATTCTTGTAATACCCAGTTTGTAGTTGAACTGAATGTAATGTGCTTGGTCCCCTCCTTGTCTTTGCCCTTCTTCCATAACCTTATACACCTCAGGGTGAAGGACATCTTCCTGAGCACCTCAAAATTTCCAGTTCCTTTGGCTCAGGTCATTGTGTGTACTGTTGGCTAGGCAGAGGTACCCATTTTTGCAGAGCTCACAATCTGGTCAGGAATTGAGACTCATGAACAAATCATCACAATATATTGTGATTCCTGGGATCACAAGGGTGTGTAAGAGGTTCAGGGCGTGTGGACATGATACCTGAGCATGATGTCTGTGGAAGAAGGCACTGTGACGCTCAGGGCTCCCATAGCCCAGGAGCTTACCCTGATGCAGCTCATATCAAAAGGTATGGCAATTAATGGTTTACCTGTCAGTCTCCCCAATAAACTACAAACCCTTTGGGGCAGGAACAGTCTTAGGCCCCTGTGTCCTTAGAGCCTAGTCCAAATGCTGCACATAACAGCATCTCCTGAATCATTAATGAATGACTCCTAAATTCATTAATGGAGCAGCACAGGTTCTAACCCTGGCCCCTTCTCTCAGTTGCTGGGTGATCTCTTCAGCAGATTGTCTTCATTTTAGCTGTTGAGATTTCCTGTGCTGCCTCCAGTTCATTTTATCTCTTGTCCTCAGTAAAAGTGGAGCTCATTGTCCTCTTGTATATAACATGTCAGAGACTCTGTGTCCTGGCAGAAACATGGATGTCAAACCCTTATCCCCTAAACAAAAAAGAAATTACTACATTCAGATGTCTCTTCATACTCTGCACGGGAGTATGAGGAGTATGCTGGAGCCTCAGTGGGGAGCAGGGGGCACAAAGCCAAGCCTGCGTACATCCAGGCCTCCACACAGCACAGCCCATTGCTGCTGTCCGGATCTCGGGTGTCCTATTTATTAATTCAAGAGCAGGGCATTTTTTGTAAAGTGATCATGTTTATTTATCATTATGGTCTAACAGGGCTTACTTTTTAACTTTTGGAGTCAGAGCTGAAATTCATCTCTTTTTTTTTTTGGAAATGGCCTTGCCCTGCCACCCAGGTTGGAGTGCTGTGGCATGATCTTGGCTCACAGCATCCTCCTCCGCCCAGGTTCAAGGGATTCCCCTGCCTCAGCCTCCTAAACAGCTGGGACTACAGGCGAGTGCCGCCACGCCCGGCCAATTATTTTGTATTTTAGTAGAGATGCGGTTTCACCATGTTGGCCAGGAGAGTCTTGATCTGCTGATCTCGTGATCCACCCTCCTCGGCCTCACCAAAGTGCTGGGACTACAGGCGTGAGCCACCATGCCCAGCCTCGAAATTCATCTTTTAAACTAGCCTATCCAGATACCTCAGAAATATCCTGACCTTTTTGCTTGGTAGCTTGTCTTTGGAAAGCTTTTAAAGAAATCTTTGTGTTTCTATGCTAAGGTTTTTCACCAGTGACACAATTTAAATAATGAAACGAACTCATGACAACGTAAGAGGTAACCAGCGGAGCTCCTTCACTCTGTCTCTGTTCCACGAGTCTTCTTTCCGCCCCCTCATGTGTCCGGGCACCTTCTCGTTTTCAGAGCCGAGTACAAGGAGCATTATGAATCCAGGGACCTGAAAGCTTTCTCTGCAGAACCCTTGCTCATCTACCCTACGCACTACACAGGCCAGCCGGGGTACTTGAGTGACACGGAGACCTCCACCATCTGGGACAATGAGACAGTGGCCACCGACTGGGATAGGACACATGCCTGGAAGTCCCGGAAGCAAAGTCGCATCTACAGCAATGCCAAGAACACAGAGGCCCTGCCACCGCCAACCTCCCTGGACACCGTGCCTTCGAGGGATGAGCTGTGAAGTCTCCCTGGGAGTGTGACCCACATCGGTGCACATCCTCCGGTTTTTCTAAAGGGCTGTTCATCTGTTTGTTCCAGTTTTCTGTTTTGTTTTGTTTTTAGTGGTCACAGTCATCTAACCAAAGTGAAATAGTGTGATAGATCGAAATTAATATATTTTTGACAGTGGAGGGAAATAAGGAAATTCAACCCAAATTTCCCAAGATGGCTAACAGACAAGCTTTCTAGAAACCGTTAAGATAAACTATAATCCAGACACCGAATTCCTCAGTTCACTACCCATGTGACGCTGATTCCCGCATGAAGGTTGAACAGCACGGCTCAGGGTCTTGTCCAAGAGAGTGATCACCAAGCTGTCCCATCAGCAAATGGGTAGTCAAGGCAGCCAGGCCAGCTAAACCACACTTATTGGCCTAATTGGTCCATTTTATGGGACAAATGTGACCTTGAAAACTCCAAGCCAACTGGACAACCTTTATTGGTGTAGTTTATCCATTTTATATGACTTTGAAAACTTTTATATGCAGTGATTGGGAGACGGGAATCAATCACTTAAAATCATATTAATTTGGCTTTTTATTTAAAGAATTCTATAATGAGCCTTATTGCAAAGTAGATTAAAAAAAAAAATAGTCCTTGTATGCAATAGGGATGGGTATTTGGGTCTGGCTGAGACTTGGCCTGTGACCATCATGGTGGTTGAAGCTCTCCTATAGAGGTGACCAGGGTGCCATGTGGATATAAATTAGTAGATAATTGACGGTTTGTATAGGTATTTGAGGGAAAAAACTCAATGTTTGGCTTTTTTTTAAATTATGGCTACTAGGTCAGGATGCTGTATTTATAAAGATAAATGTAATATATAAAGGCGAGGGCCGGGTTTGCGCACTGCTGCGGAGCCTCACGCTCTCTGCTGCACCCCTAGCCTGGGAACCCACGCAGGTGTGAGTTTTCTGAGTCACTGCTAAGAGACAGAGCACATTTTCAGGCCAGCAACTATCCTTGCCTGGCTTTTTCATTATATTTTGAATTATTTATTTTGCAAAATGTGGGGAAGACATTGTCTTCAGGGTGAGGCAGAGAAACAGATGTTGCAGTCTCCCACCAAGCCCGGGGGAGCGGTGGGTGTGGACACACCGGTTTGGCAATCTGATTCTCCTGCCTTTCCCAGCCAGGCTCCTGCAGCGAGGCCTGTGGATGGGGGATCTGAACTGTTTTGAAACAAATGGTTCTCTATGTCAGGTGAGAAACCTGGTTGGAACAAAGGGCTGGTCAACTGATTGAGGCCAGCAACCAGGGAAGCTCTTGGAATCAGAATCCCGGGCAGACACCCTTTCTTAAAAAATATCCCCTAAGAGTCCTTTCTGCTTTCTTCACACATTGATTTTATGTAAAATGCAGAGTTGGACTACACAATTTCTTCCCACTCCACAATCTGTCGTCCTAGTATAGATCATGGCGGTTTTCCTCAAGCGTACATTCTCACGCCCTCAATCTGTAAATTTTTGTCTCCAGTAAAACCCTCCCAGGCATCCCATACAAGCACCCTTCCTCCTCAGCGTCCACGCACCATGCAGCCACATAGGGGGGCCGTGCACACTCCAAACCTTGAGCTCCACACTTAAGACTCATGGGGAGGGCCCCTCAGAGCAGAGCCCTGGCTGGCGGTGCTGCATGTACCAGCTTAGTGTACAAACGTAAGATAAACTTTAAGCCAGATATCTAATTCTTCAGTTCACTGCCTATGTGGTACTGATTCTCACATTAAGGTTAAACAGCATGGCTCAGAGTCTAAAGAAAATGATCACCAAGCTGTCCCATCACCAAATAGGTAGTTAAGGCAGCCCGGCAGCCTCGCCTCCCCAGGTGAGGGGCAGATCCCCGGTTTAGGACAATAGGCAGCTGCCTTCCACCAGACGCCAGCCCTGGCCTTCCTTCCCGACTCACTGTGGATACCGTTCTCCGCTGACCAACAAGCCGGGGCACTGAGGAAAGGGATCTCACCCAACTCCAAATTGTACCGCTGAGACTCAGCTGTCAAGAGCATCTGGGAGTGAGTGAAAAATCCTTAGGTGATTCCTAGGATTTCCTTGAGTATCTGGTTTTTGTTTGCATATGTGAGTGTGTGCATGTGTGCACGGCTTTAATGATTTTTTTAACAAGTTGGGAGGTTGCTGAGGTGCTGGGGGTGAAGGAAGTTTGGGTTGATTTTTGTGTTGTTTTGTTTAATAGAGAATTTTTTCTCCTGTTTCTCTGTCAGCTGGTCTGACAGATTTAAGAACTTTCATTCTTAAAAGACGTTGGACTTAAATTCTAGCATTTCAGACTAGGACTGTTGTACTGTGAAGAAAGTTCTGGCTCTGTTCGCCCGGTTTGTTTCTCCCTGCTCAGGCTTCAAATCCCGAGCAGTGTTCTTTTCTGGTGAACGTTGTGAGCTGCAGATGTGACTTTGTTTTTAAGTCATCTCTTCAGCAATCCAGAGGTTCCTTGACCTCATTAATTGTCCTATCTCTCCCTTTTAGTCCTAAGCCAAGACATTTGACCTTTGCAGTGTCACGTGAGGTCATCAGTGTAGAGGCCTTTTCATCTGGCCCTGTCACCCGCTCTCTGCCTCTGGAGGCTAAACCCTGTCTGAATTCCTCTTGGGATCTAACGTGGGATCTTCTGGGCAGACAATTGTGACGTCAGCAGTGCTGGTGCTGCTGTGTGTGAACACCTGCACTTTGCAGGGGACACACTGCGTGGGCCCCACTTGGGGTTTACTCAGGCCTGCTGCAGGAGCTCTGGAGAACAAGAAAGAGCTGACTCCCAGCACCCTGCATCATCTGTCTTGCTGTGCTGTTTCAGGGTGGGGAAGTGATCAACTGTTTGCCTTCTGGAGCTCTTTGTGAAAAATTAAAAAAAAACTTAGCTCGAAGATATGATTGTCCATTGCTTCCACAGTCACTGATCAATGGCCAGCACCACAGAGAGTCCCAGGTCTGCCCTTGACCAAGGATGCCAGGATCGGGCAGAACCATCGCTGCTATGTGATCCCCGTGGCAAATGAGGGGAAGGGGGTTGCTGCCCTTCCTGTGCAGTCAGGGTTGTTTTAGACTGATGGGTACCGGTGTATAAGCTGAAAAGGATTCTAGGGTGTAGGAAGGTGGAGGAGAGCCCCCAGTGGGAAGGAGTGGAGGTGTCCAGCTTGCGTTTTGTGCCACAGGTCAGCCTATCCATTCATCAAAAGATACTGCGATACTGTGATACTGGTCCAAGGTCGAAGGGCTTTTTCCTGGGGAAAGTAACAGCAGCAACAATAAGAGAGTCCTCGCTGGTCTCAGTGACCACTAGAATTTTTAGATCAAGCTTCTTCCTAAAAATCATGCTGTGAACACTGCCTTGCTGCAGACTGTGTGCTGGGCGCTGAGACGCTCAGAGGAGCAGGTGACGTCTCTAGTGCTGTGTGGGGCCCACAGTCCAAAGGGGAGCGACCTAAGCAGGTGGCTGCCAGACAGGATGGCTTTATTTCAGAGATGAACAAAATGGGCAGAGGAGGACTGTTGGGCAGCTTTGCTGGGAAGGTGGCATTTGGGTTGGTGTTTGGAGGGTGAATGGGAGTTCAGAAGAGGGAGGTGGGTTGGGCACGGTGGGTGGAGAAGCTGTCTAGCTAGGCGTTGAAAGGACTATGAAAGGACCTAAGTGCGATTCATGGGAACTCCATAGGGTGGAAGAGTTAGGCATGTGTTGAGGTTGATAACAGCAAACTAGACGGAGATGCCATCACGCTGGCAAGGCGAGCTGGCTGCTGTGGGCTGCCTCATCATAAATACCAGAGCCCAGCATTTCTGGGAGAATTCTAGGTTTGGCTACCTTCTTGACAGATAATACAGAGGCTTCCAGTAAAATGGTGATGTCCAAAACAAGAAATGTTCCCACTCAGCTACAAACGTGGGAATCTTGGGGTTTTTCCCTTATGGCTAGAGGAAATCCCTCCTGCTAGTAACTATAAAATGAAGAAATGTCTTCCCAGGAGGCTTCCTATAACATGCTCTTGAGACATTCTCGCCAACTAAACAGAGGAAAGAAAGGATCCAGAAGTGAGCTCCCTGACAGAAGTTCATTCGTTAAGGAGTTAAATATCACAAAGTAAAGTTAAAATGAGCCTGGCAATATGAGAAGAAAATAGCATGTAATGGGTGACATGTTCCGAAAACTAAGAGCAGATAGCTTTGGAAAAATTGTCACATCCATGTGATGTTTTGTGTGATGTTTATTATTTCAGAGGAACCTGCTGTCCCTCAATTAAATGTGGCTCAGGGAGGAGGGCCAGCAGGGGAGGAGGGGCCTGTGAGGGGCCTCCCTGTAAGTCCGCACGGCTAAGCCAGTGCAGGGAGCTGGGACAAGAACCGAAGTCTGTTTCTGTGCCTGCTTGGAGAAGAAGTAATAACGGTAGATTTTAGTACATTACATTACAGAAGATCGCATGAAAAATGGTGCTCCCTCTTATCCCAGGAACAGAGCCCGAGGCGTTTGTCAGACACTGAATGGAGTCCCAAGGTAAGTGGTGGAATGGCTCCACCAAACTTCGTTGTTGGGAAGAAGAGTGGCTTTCTTTCTGCTCTGTGAATTACTGAAATGCCCTAGTTTTTGCTTCCACACATGGATGTGCTAATACTTGAGCGGATCTTTGCTCAGTAGCCCCTGTGACACCAGCTGTGTTGCTTCCAACCCAAAGCTATCCATCCTCCCATCTGCCCTCAAAAAGGTTGGAAAGAATGAAGAATCATCCCTGAGGATTGCCTTCTCTAATTTACAGTTTGTTTTATGCCCTTCCCTGTTGTTCTCAAGCCTGGCTTCCTCTGGAGCAGCTGCTTTAATAAACTTGCCATGCCTGAGCAATCCTAGGGCCCCATGGACCTGGCGAGGCTTTGCTGGGTGAGGGGGAGCTTCCCATTCTAGGGGTGGCTGGGTGGATGTCTGGGCTCTTGCTTGTGGAGGAATCTGATTTTGAAGGTGGAGTGGGCAGCTCTCTTTCTCTGTTCTTAGATGCCTAGAAAATATTCAGCAACAGTTTCCGCTCCCAAAAGGAAATGAGAAGTTTGGAACAGACCCCCAGACAGGAGTTAAGTTGTCCAGGTGTTTAGATGGTGTGGCCTGAAGGGTTTTAACTGCTTTTAAAAATTGCTAGCATCGATTGTGAAGACTTGAAGGGGATGATCTTATTGCTCAGGCCTAGCACAGGGAAGGAAACCGTGAGCAGAGCTGACTGCAAGGGACAGAGGGGTGCAAGCCTGTTGAGAATCTGAAGGGAGAGGACAGAAGCAGCTTCCAGAGCACCACACACAGAGCAGAGTCCCGGAGAGGGGTGCAAACAGCATGGAGAAGAGACTGATGGAAGCCCATCGCTGGGGACGGTGAAGCCAGCGCACAGGCCAAGGAAGCGGAGAGGGAGCCGGTGGGGAAGTGTGGTAGGAGGGAGGCTTGAAATGGAAGTGGTGACAGCCTGGGCCTTAGAGTAACCACTTTATCCTTTTAAGTCTGCAACTATGGGAGAGGCTGAGGTGGTGTTGAGCTGAACAGCTTGCAAAGGAACAGTGAAATGTCCAGTGCCCCCAGTGCTTGAAGAACAGCAATAACCCACAGTCAACCATCTCCATTGTCCCTGGACAGGGCCTCTGGAACCAGAGCTGAGAACCCATTCCTGCAGGAAGACACAGGGACTGTGGACAGACACAGAAAGGAGGACCAAGGAGCAGGTGCAGAGCTTCCAGCGAGAGAACTCAACCCAAGAAAGCGGGAACCCTGATGGAAATTGCTGCCAGCTCTGCGTGGTGGCCAATCTCAGGCCCCGAGAGGGACACTCTGGCCCAGGGATGCTTGTGCACCAGCCTCTCCCGTCACAGCCCATCCAGCACGAGTCCACACTACAAAGCCTGAGGGCCGGCCAGGGAGGCTGCGCTGGGCCCACATCCCGGTCTCTGTGAGCCGTTGAGGACTGCAGCCGTGGAACAAGCTGCAGGAGCCCTGGACGCCCTCTGATCCGTGAGCCAGTCTCTCCCGGAGCTGCAGCAGGCTCAGCTTTTCCCCGGGTGCTGGTCCACATGTGGAAGCCCTACCTCGAAGAGTCTCACATCTGGACCATTTGGCTCATCTGGGGAGGAGGTTGGAGGGCTTCTTTGAAGACATGACTTCTCTTAGGCTAGAAGCTTCCCAGGAATAACAGCAGTTAACTCTTGTATCATGCACCAAAATGAAACGTGCTTCCCCTACACGTGCTGTGTAGTTGAATATGGCATGAACCTCAAGAGGTAGGAGCTATTCATTAAACCCTGTCTTTCAGATAAGGCAAAGAGCTAAGGGAAGCAAGTTGCCCAAGGTGGTAAGTGGCCTGGGAATCACACCGAGGCTGTCAGATCCCCAAAAACTGCACCCAATTCCAAGCTGCTGGGGGATAATCTGGCTCGTTTCTTGTTTTCTTAGTAACATTTAATGTTTTAATCTCTCACTCTTGCTCGCTCTCTCTCTCTCTCACACACACACACACACACACACACACACACACACACACACCCAGCCTGCTAGGTAAAGCTGGTACCTCTAACCCATGTCTGTCTCCCCTGTGAAACCTCATACTGATTATTCAGCTGGTCATACTGCAAACTCTCATCTAACATTGCTGGAGGCTTGGCTGTTAGATACTGTATAAACGAGGATCAGAAACAGACGTCAAGGAGCAAGCAGCAGTCCCATTTAGAATGCTTCTCCCATTTCAGAACTGGTGCCTTTTTATATGGCAGGAACAATTCAGAAACAGCTTAAATCATTGTCTTTTTTTTTAAGTTGCTGTACTGGTAACTCTTTTCATTCTTGTGTCAGAAATTGGAACTGTAGCACAGAATGATGCTTTGGTATGAAACAATGGTAGGAATAAAAACGACTTCTGAGAAGCCTGTGTTAAAGCACTTGGATACTGATAGCTGACTTACAGGGAGGCTGGTCTGGGAGGTCTTAAAATGCTCTCCTGAATGCCACGCAAGCCCCAGTCCCACCTGCTTCTCCTTTGTTAACTCCTGTCACTTGCTGCCTTTCCTAGGAGTTTCTCTTGCTGGAGAACACCTGAATCTACAGATCAGAAATGGATTCCAATCCAGCTGGGTGCTAACTCACATAATCATCTTTATGGCCGTTTCCTCATCGATGGGATGGAAATGATGCTCAGGATAATAGGCGGCAGTGCTCTGACCCACAGCAGAATGTTCCTCAGACTTCAAAGAACCAACCAGGTGCCCAGCTGAGGGAGGTAGTTTGTGTGAATTCACGTGATGGGAAGGCTGGGATGGAGCCCACAGATCCCAGGGATTCTCTTCAGCTCCGTGAGGCTGTGGGGGTGTCTGTCAGGAAAGCCTCCTCCATTCAGTGCCCAGCCCACTGTATATGTTCAGAGTGGGGCTAATGATCCGGAGCTGTATCCCTAAAACTAGGGCAGCTTAACTGCTCTGCGTCTCAGCCCCATATCTGTAATAACAGGCCACTGACCACGACTTGTAAGTTGCTACAAACTCATAGGAAAACATTACAAACACTGGATTACTTGAAATGTTAAATAAGAAATTGCTTCCACAAAGGTTTCTGGGTAGAGATGTTGAGAAACCGCACCCAATAATGGTTACCAAATTCTGAGTCTAAAATAATTAATTTGCCTGGCTTCTATTTGATCTGCTGGTTTCTGTGTAAATTCTTTACATTTCCGAGGTTTCTTTTTTTAACCTGACATACATCTGTAAAATAGCTACTACTGTAGTTTCATCAAAGTAGGAACCACATCAGAAGAACATAAATTGTTGGTGAGTGGCTGTATATCAAAAATTAAAAATAAATTAGATCGGCTGGGTGCGGTGGCTCACCCCTGTAATCCCAGCACTTTGGGAGGCCAAGGCGGGTGGATCATTTTGAGCTCAGGAGTTCAAAACCAGGCTGGGCATCATGGCAAGACCACATCTCTTAAAAAAAAAAAAAATTAGCCAGCTGTCAGTGGCTTGTGTATGTAGTCCCAGCTACTAATGAGGCTGAGGCTGGAGAATTGCTTGAGCGCAGGAAGTAGAGGCTGCAGTGAGCTGAGATCGTGTTACTGCAGCCTGAGTGAAACCTTGTCTCAAAAAATAAAATAAATAAGATCAAGGCTAATTCCAGACAAAATTGAATTGTTCTTTCTAGTATTTTCTCCTTTCAGCCTCTCTCTTCAACTCTTCCCTTGCTCTGTGCAGCCTCAAGTCCTCACTGCCATCTCTTCCAAACACTTTCTGATGACTGTGAACGATTAGCAACCCCATGCACCCTAGCAAGAAGGCATGACCCCTCAGTGGCAGAGGCAGTCGTGTGCCTCAACTCCTCCAGGTTTCCCCTGCATTTCCCACCTCCCTGCACTCTCACTGGAGCCGGCGACTGGTCAATGGGCCATGAATGGAAGCGACAGGTGTTGCTTTGGTCTAAGGCAGCTGGGAACAGTTGTTGCAAGTTCTCCTTGCTCTCTTCACCATCACTGTGACTAGAAGGGAAAAACTGAAATGGCAAAGTTGCAAGATGGAAGCTGCCTGGATCTACTAAGGACTTTCCTGACTTGCGTTACACTGTCACATGAAAGAAAAATAAAAGTCAGTCTTGAGCTGTTGAGATTTCCTGCTCTGTTTCTTCAGTCCAGCCTAGCCTAGCCCAATACATCCCTTCCAAAGGTATTTAATTTTAGGAGAGACTCTAGGGGGAAAAGCAATGCAAAAACACAACAGAAATTAACTTCTAGTGGAAATGTAGGCATCTACAGAAAAAGAGGTTCTCAATCCCACTGAAATTGGGACACATAAAGCAATAGCATGCCTCCTAATGGTCCTGTGGTGCAAGAAGAATCTACAAATGCTCCAAAGAAGGCAGGTTTAAGACAATATTCCTTCAGGCAAAATGTCCCCAGGCCGTTTCTAGAAAAAGGCCAAACGAGGGAAACAGGTTTTTAGAATGATCTTGAAAAAACAGGTACCAAAGACAAAATTCCCTTTTTTTCCTGCGCCTCCCCGTATTACCAATTTCCTATTTTAAAACATCTACTTGGCTTTCTCTAAAGATTCCACAAGGGTACAGAACATTTGATAATTTGGATCCATTTAGGAATCCTTTGGAACATAATTCTGGAAACTTTTTAATAGCATGATAAATGACAATACTGTGCATCTGTTCAGTGAAGCTGGCCTCAGACCTAATGCCTTTGGGGAAACTACATGGATTAATTTAAAAGGATTTCAAACGTAATTCTTTGGGAATGCCTTACCTTCGTCCACAGAGGCCCCCTGGCTTCAAGGGCACCATGGGACGGTTCAAGAATTATCCAGGTGGTATCCATCACAAAATGGGGGGAAAGGCCCTCAGAAAAGCAACACAATGCTAACTTGGACCCTCACTCTAAGTTGGATTTTATTGTGTCCCCATGACGGGCTCCTGTAATCCCAGCACTTTGGGAGGCCAAGGTGGGTGGATCATGAGGTCAGGAGATCGAGACCGGCATGGCCAACAGATGGGTGAAACCCCATCTCTACTAAAAATACAAAAATTAGCTGGGCGTGGTGGCATGCACCTGTAATCCCAGCTACTTGAGAGACTGAGGCAGGAGAATTGCTTGAACCCGGGGTCGGAGGTTACAGTGAGCCGAGATTGCACCACTGCACTCCGGCCTGGGTGACAGAGCGAGACTCCGTCTGTAAGAACAGCAATTTAGGAAAAGCATCATTTCTGACTGCAGTTTCCTAAGGACGCCATTCTTTCCTCCAAAGGCTCGTGACACTTGCCAGTTGGGAGGTCCCTCCAAATTCTGCCACTGGTTTTCCCTGTGCTCCTCCAACCCATCCGGTGGGCTTCCCAAAGGCTGGCGGACACACCTGGAACCCAGAACCAACCTGGTTAATAATCCAGATACAATCCCTTTGGGTCTGGCAGCACATGCCAGCCAAGTCCCAAACCAGTTTATTAGTTTAACCAGAAGGTAAACAGATGATGGAGATGCAGAAAGACAAGCATGCGAGCAGCTAGAAGCATGACCCGGCTGTCCACCAGGAAACAAATTTAAGACATTCAAAGTGGCATTAAATAAATGAGGCTAAGTTTTACCTACTTGGAATTTCCATTGTCTTTAAAAAAGGTAAATATATATATATATATATATATATATATTCACATTGCAGTATATAAATCTAGACTCTACATATACAGTGTAAATACACAGGGTGAGCACAGGGGCACAACATGTATGTCTTGGTAGCCACACCCTCAAACAGGCCAATGGTTTAATATTTTCTTATCTTCATACCAAGAATGCCGGGCTGAGGCTACAAATGCTTCAGCCTGCATGAGGGCCGCCACCCTGGCCATCTCTCCTCCAAGCACAGAAGCACAAATCGAACAAGCATTGAAAACAAAGTGCTTTCTGACTAGCTGAAACCCAGTCGCTGTCTTTACAACATGTAGTCCAACCTCCTGGAAAGACCAAAGGAAATCGGAGGGCTTCGTGGCCCACTCTCCAGTCCACTGCCACAAACCTCTAAACTTTCCCTGGTGTTTCTTGCGAAATTCACATGGCTGCTCACATAACACATATCCCACACAACTTTTAGGAGCTGTATTAGGAGCTGTATTAGGGGAAAAGTAGCTCCATATTACAATCTGCACTCCATATTCTGGGTTTGTTCTCTTTATTTTTGGAATAAAAACTGGCATTTTGAGAATTATTTCTTGAGACACAACATTCTGAAAGTGCTTCTTACACATGTCAATATTCCACATATGGCTTTTAGTTCAAGCCCTAGCACAGCTCAGACTTGGAAGGAAGGGTGTGATGGTGTTATGAGAGACAAAAATGTCACTTAGCAGTGACACTGTGATAGCAAGCATGGGAACCTGAATAGAAAAAGTTATTGATTCCATCTGGAACTACGTACCTCTTTGAGAAATGATTCGGATAATTTGTGCAGCCCCATCTCTTTCCTCATGACTAGGCACAGTAATGCTATGAAAGTTAATAAGTAAAATAGAATGCTGTTATCAACACGGAACATCTTTTGAGGGGCCACTAGCAGGGCAATCACCATTCAGAAATCTTTCACAGGCTCAAAATGATCAAATGTAGTTAACCGCAGTAGAAATTTCCACACCTGAGGAACAAATTGCACATAATATAGAGGTACTTGGATCCAGATGGCCAAAGACTCCAGACACATAGTTTTACATGCAAAAGGCAATCAGAGAAGGCAATGAAGTAGTGACATTCCAAGACAGAGAAGAGTCCAAATAAGTCACCGTTCTTTTGCGCTTTCTTTTCTGGCTACGTTACCAAAGAACATGGTTATTTGTGCAATGATTATGATATGTTCTTTAAGGGAGAAACAGAAATACAAGGGGTTGCCAGAAACTGAAATGAGTTTGTTTCAGGAGTGTGACACTTCCAGAGGCATTGTGATGGCTAGGCCAGTGGGGCGATGGGCCTCCGAGGCTCCTCCTGGCCTCCCTGGAGTAGCAGAAAGCGGCAGATGCAGCCAGAGGTTGAAGGCCACCGGCTCATCCAAACCCCTTCCAAAGCGGCCTTTCATGCAGCCTGTGGCAGTCCCAGCCTCTGCAGTTGTTTTTATCTGGTGGCACTTGATTGAGAAAGTCATCCTCTCCCTTTATAAAAATAAAGTTTGGGCTTCTTGTAATACTGGCACAAAGGACACTCTCTATTCCCAGGACTGACTCCATTTACTCGGAAGAATATGAGACTAGGTTCTCAGTTTCTTCTATTTCCCTGTAAAAAGTGACCTCAACTTCCCAGGCCATTGTGCAAACTTGTTTTTCCATAGTCCATAATATCCCATAAAGTCCCTCTTATATATTTTTATATATATACACATACATACCAAATATGTGTGCATATATATATATTTTAAGTGTGGGTAATTCTGCATTCTAGTCTCAAGTAAGTCAAAGAGAATCAGTGAATCGTTCATCCTTTTCATGTCAAATTGACTTCCAATTTCCCCACAATGCCTATCATAGTGCTTTGCACACCACAGGAACTCAATAAATATCTGCTGACTTCACCAATGATCCTCGAACACTGGATGGTAATTGCAATCACCGCAGCCTGTTCTCAGCCCCGCTCTGCCTTTGGCAAACAAGGGGCCATGGGTCCCTCCCTTCAGAGGGTGATTTTGCTGTGTCTGTTACTCCAGCAGCCCCGTTTAGCTGTCCTGGGCAAAGTCAAGCTGGTCCGGCTACGCAGTTTCACTTGTTCTTCCATGGAGTTCTTTTTGCGCAAAATGAAGTCAAAGTTCACTTGGCTGTTCATGGCATAAAAGACGTTTGCTGAGTCTGGAATCACAAGTTCTGAAAAAGATAAGAAAAGAGGAGGTGGCCAGCTTGCAGAGGTCGGCCCAGCCCTGACAGTGGCAGCTGTAAACCTTGCCCAGACACGAGACAGGGGCTATGGCCCTTTGCCTCTGGAACATGACCTGAACCAGGCAGTGACCACCACCACTTCCCCCCAAAATTGGCCCCAACTTCTCAATCCCAATTTTAAAAATTAGTACAAATAAGATTTTAGAAATTCATTCCATGAATTAAATGTTCCAATAGAAAATGTTAAAGCAGAAATAACACAGAGTAGAAAACAGAGACCAAGAAAAGTTAGAAAACATTCTGAAGACTGCAGCTAGCGAGCGGCAGGACTGGATTCGAACTCGGGTTTCCCTTCTCCTGTAGTCCATTTTCCACCCCAGTATGCAGATTTTCTCAAAGACCAAGAGAGTCCAATGGCATGGAGAAAACAGAAAATCTACAGCACCCCAGAATTCTACTTGAAATACTGAAATATTTTTTGAAGTAATCCCGTCAAACCAGTGTTTTATTTCCCAAGTAA